ATACAGGGTGTCCATAAATTATCTGACACATTTACAAAATTAATAACTTCAAAAATATTATAGATAGAACACTCGGGTTTTATTTAACTTGATGAGTAACTCATTGTTTGGTTCTTCCTTTCTGTTGCACATTCTTTGTAGGAACATTGCTAGAAAAGATTTCTGAACAATACATTCCCAGACAGATGGATCGGTAGAGATGGACCAATATGATGGCTCCCACGTTCCCCTGACATAACCCTGTTGGATTTTTTTCTTGTTGAAGGTTGTGAAAGATCAGGTACATTCAAAACCTGTGTGTAATATCGTGGATCTTTGTCACAGAATAATCAATGAAATAAGGAATGTGACTGATGAGATGCCAAACAACATCTGGAAGGAGATAGAATATTGCCTAGACATTCTTCGAGCAACAAACAGTGCACATGTGAAAGTATACTAAGACAAGAAAAACTTTATGATTGGTTCGTAACGTTAAATAAAACCGGTGTGTTCTATCTATATTATTTTTTAAAGTTATTAATTTTTAAAATGAATCAAGTAATTTATGGACACCCTGTATTTTTATTTTTGGTAAAGTGAATGATATGAAAATAAAAAACAGGAAAAATATTTTGGACTTCTTAATTAAAATTAGATATGTATAACATCTTTCCAATCATATTTAGAAATTACAGCATTGGTAAAAAGGATGCCTTATTTCAATATTTTTTAAAAAGTTATTATATGACCATACAACTTGCATTTTTACTTATTTTAGATGTCAGCAATTTGAAAAACATCTTTCTCCCAGGATTTCTAGCTTCTAAACAAGAAAAATTGTTTCTGTAACAAGGCCATAACAGCTGCAGGTAACCTAAGCAACACTAACTGTTTGTGTATCTGGAAAAGCCTATGCACAGAAAATTTACCATGACAACATTTAATGATGTTCATATTGTTGTATTAGCTTAGAAGCAATCAGTTCATGGCTGAGCCGTTAACTGGAATGCTGTGGACTCCAGCTTAGTTGATTTCTGAAACCTCACAAAATCTTTCATGATAGCTAATAGCTCAATCAAATAAATGCACTGACATCTGAATTTTGCTTTTATTAATTATGGAAAAAAATGTGTATGTATGGAGTGGGGGTTTAAGACCCCTTTAGAACTGCACCTACTTATACAACTTATTATAATTGAGTGATATTGTTACATACATATATAAATAAAATTACACAATCCATGACCATTACATCACTGGTTAACACACTGGCTGCCATGTGTCCCACCAGTGGGTTATAGACAATTATGTTTCAAAGCCAAATTTCTGTTGTGGCATATGAGTTTGGAACACTGTGACTACTCCTCTGCACCTTTTGAACAATTTTATTTATTATGTGGCAGCCAACGTGTTAAGATGTCATTCTAATTCAAAGTGCTAAAAAATCACCTACTCACCTGACAGCCTATAGTTAATAATTGGGGTTATCCAGTTAGATCGATAGATGGCAAAAGGTTATTTGTAATAAATGTTTAATGGCTTCAAAATATGTTCCTTCTACATACTGTATAAGCCTATGGTAGTCTTGTCTAATTGATTTATTTGAGAACCTACAAATAAATTTGGAACATCAGCACTTGGTGACTAATTTGCCAATTAAAAAGAAATATAAGTTTTAGATAAAAAGAATTGTCAAACATACCAAACTGTTAAATATACATTTAAATTTAATAAGAGTTACGATTTAGATAGTTATAAAGTGCAAGTGTTGAATTTAGTATTTTTAGAATAGATAATTTATTGCAGGTTTGCTTATATAACTTTTCATGAATCACTTGTTGTGTAATTCAACTGACGTCCTTCAAAATTTTTCTTGTTACTTTAAGTGTGTATGGTTACACCATAACATCTAGTAGTTCTAGGCCTCAGTCGGGCAATATATATATATATATATATATATATTGGAAGTTAATGAAAGTGAAATTAAAAGTTAGATTGTAAGTGAGTTTCACAGCCTGTATTGTAATAAAAGAGATAGAGGAGAATAATTTGTCTTGTGAAAGGGTATTCTAAGTAATTGAGCCCACCTGTGTGGACTTTGATGAAAAAGAAAATCATTTACAGCTCTAGATACAACTGTGATGACCAACAGTATAACAAATTTTTGTACATACGTTGGACTTGTTTTGAATATATATATTATTTTAAAACAAATAGATTGTGTGCTGTCCTTTTGTTATTGAAATTCATTGCCAACAAGTTACAGACACCAACTGTAAAGAATTTGAGCCTTATAAAACTGACACAAAGACATGAAAAAGCTTCTTCTTGGATTAAATTATTGTCATACTTGACTTAAAAACACATGGATAGGAAATAACAGAATTTAAAGTTATTTGTTTTTCCACACATTAATGAAAAAAAACCCCTTCAGAATTGAAATTTACTCCATAAAAATGTTTTAGTTATTTGCTTTTATATATATTTTAAATCACAGTTTTGGATTTTCAACATGCTGTAATCAGAATTATTAGTGTTTGTGAATTTCCTGAGAATAATATGCCACTCATAGCCCCTAGGAGGAAAGTCAAGATAGCTTTGATCAAAACAGCACTACTTTAACCTTGTAATTTAGATAAAAATGCAGGGTTTTTATCAGCTTTTAGCCAATCACTGTCTGTCAACTTCAGCTGCCTTGGTATGATGTAATTGGTTATATCTAAGCTTTGAGATGTCACAGGCTATTGAGCTAAATTAGTAATAAAATTTAACATTTTCTTACACTGAAAATATATTTAGAATAGATTCCTACTTCCTCTCACAAAACAGTTTTTCTTAACTTGTACTGCCCTCTATAGTGGAAATTTTTGCTCGCTACTAGTCTTGATACTGGTTAGCTAGAATATAAACATAGAACAACCTCCTACCACTTTGATTTGCTGAGAAATCAATGTATCTAGCAAATCAACTAGAGTGGCACCTCCTCCTACTCCATTATTTCCAAGCCTCTTGTCTTAATGGTCTGTTTATAATCAATAGAAAGGAAAAGTTGTGCTTTACGTGATTCTGACAGTTGTTTGTGAGAGCTTGGAAGAGAACATAATATTGCCAAGACTGTTGAATGGTACTGACCAAGTTGTTGCTCTGAACGGAGATAAATTTTTTTTTAGACATATATATACTTTATTTATAAACCCAAGCAAGTTACGAATGTTTTGGGTGTACTAGTAGAGTAATGTAATATTGTTTTTCTTTATAAAAGGTTTACCAAATTTTGTGAAGATGCACATACTGAATTAAAAGTTATGGTATAAAAACTTAACATGTGCAAACGTGCATACAAACTCTTGTATAAAATAATACGAGCCCGCTGCGAAAGGGATAAGCTGATGTTCCTTCCAGTTTAGTGGAAGTTCATGTATAGATCACAATAAAGTGACAAAGGCTTAGCTTGGTGATGTGTTGTTAGTGAATGTTTATGAAAAACTTCTGCAAAAATTACAGTCCTAGCTTTTTGTAAATCTAGCAAAAGCTTCCTTTGCCATTTCATACTTCATTTGGATTATAACATTGTAGTACGATACTAAAGAAATGTTTTTAATAGAAAAAGATAAGGTAGACTTAGTTAAATCCGTTTTCACCTAACTAAGTCAAATTTTGTTTTACTGACAAGACTATTATGAATGGGCAAATGAAATCAATAATATAAATTAATATGAGTTTAAAACTTATTACATATATTAAATGAAACCTTCTGATACACAATTTAGAAAAAATTTTTGGTACATTAAAGAAAAAATATTGTTTGCCAAAATTTCAATTTCTATGCGTGACAACTTCAAAACAAAATCTGGTCTTATAAAATCAAAACTTTATAGGAAAGTTTTTAAATAATGTAGGAAGACAAAAATTATTAATAAGTCTAAAACAAAGGTAAACATTTTTAACTGTGTTCTAAAAGAAAAACATATTACAATGAAATCTTATCAAAATTTCAAAGCTGTGAACTTATACAAATATCACATGTAAGAATATGGTGTATTTGCAAAAGTTACATAACCTATACATAATAAAGTTTTCAGAAGTTCCAAACTATTTCATCTAGTAAGCCTTTCTTGCAATGCAATAAAAGAAACCATACAACTGGTGTTCTGAATTGACTCATCTGGGTCTCTTAGAGTTAATCAAGGTTACAATAACTCTTGTTCTTATACTCCACATTTCTAACAATAAATACTAACATTTTTTTGCTCTTTTCTTCACAATCAAACACTCATGGAAAAGGTTAAGGATTTTTTTCATCAAATACACTCAAGTCCATATGCCAGATATACAACTTTTACATTTCATTGCTATAATTTATTCCCTACTCATTTAAACTGAAAAGTTCCTTTTCAACAAGCAAAACATTCTTAATAGAACCAACTCTCCTAACAATCTTTCTATTAAGTCATTGAATTTGGAAATACTACTGTAAGACACTACTGCCTTTTTAGAACTTTTAAGTATGACACCCCACTCCTGTCTGAGTTTTGCTTGCTTATTAACATTTATTTTTTTCCTTTTTTTGATGATGACCTCTCATTATATAATTGCTTTTGTAACACAGTGCATAAAAGCAGAAATAGCATTTCACACTTATCAGAGAAAATTTACTATAAATGGTTATTTGCAATCATAATAAAGGAACTATTACACGTTTCAGAAATCTTTTGTCATCCGTGGGCACTAAAGTTACACATGAAATGAGTGCCACTTTGGAACAAACAGAACCCTCCCACTTCCAGACCTGGCTATGGGCTTGTCCTATAACCTGCTTTGATGATCCTATGGCATGGTTATTTGCTATATGTATATTTGAAGACTTACTTCAGATACTGAATAATTAATAAGAATTCTTAAATTAACTATAATGATCGACCAATAAACTTTTCAATACAGTAACAGATGACTATACAATCTTACTAAGTTTTATATCTCAACTAGTTAATATACAAAGAAGAAAACTGGAACAGTACCTCTGCTGTTAACTCTCCTCCAGATAATTCTAATCCAACTTGATTTGCTGTTGCATCAACACTAAGTAAAGCATTTGACTGCGGTTCAGCAACTGGATCCACATCTGTAACAGGCCTATTTCTAGTTATCTCAATCACATCCTGTGATTCAGATATTATAACACCCATATTTTCACCATGAATTGCATTAGAATTGCTTGAAGTAGTTGATGGCTGCAAATTTCCAGGTTCAAGATTCTCTGTATTTGCTATATACGTAATTACAACATTATGAAAATCTTGAAACCTACAATATCTACCAAGTGCATTCAGATCCATTAATACCGAGGCTGTATCAATGCTATTGACGTCCAGTGTTTTTGGATGAATATATCCAAACATACCATTATTCAAGTTGTGGAAATGAGACTGGGTGTATGCAGAGCTTTGTCCAAGAAAAATTTCATGCACTTCTGGTCCAGTGTTCATCAAGTGCAAATATGACTCTGGATTTAACCGAAGAAGGCTGACAACCAGTGCCAGCTGTACAAGCTCTGAATTCACAATCTTCTTGTATCCAATCATTTTACTTTGATGAATGTGAAACAGGTTTCTTGAAAAATGTTAATGTTATGTAAAATTTCTAATGTTACATATCTTTACATGCTCATTTAGTAATTAGCAGTATATCTAACTGAAAATTATAAATAAATAACACAACAGAATCTCAGTCCCCAATTTTACTGCTTTTAAAAAACTAGTTGTTATAAGAAGCTAGCCTTATGTGAACAATACTAAAAGTATTTCACACTATACCATATCAAATATCTGTAGCTAGTAATATCAGATATCTTAAAGTTAAATTCCTGCAAGTGAAACTTCCAAACCAAAGAATTTGTAATTTCTCATATCCTGCTCATTATAATTTAATATAAATCATCACACACACACACACACACACACACACATGCCTTACTAGCAATGTTTAGCACTTAATTTTAAACATAGGCCCACTTATAAAATCAAGACTGTGTATGCACTGTTAATGTAATTAATACTAATAATGATGTTAATATTTGCTTAGTACTACTACTGGGTACTAGTTAATCACAAATTGCTGACTGCACTGGGAGAATAAGCATTTATGCTTACGTCTGAATTAAAGATGTCATAATTCTTACTCGATACTATTATGGTTACAGTTGCAAAATGCAGCGTTTTTTTTCGACCGTCGGTATAACTTATATACTGATGACGCAAAATTATGAAGATTGACACTCGATTTACACCAAGCCTAGTGTCAAGCTGCCTATCGTTAAGACTCCGTCATATTTTGTCGTTACTTCGAGTTCGATCTTTTCGCACATGTAATGTTAAACATAATTAACTCCAGCAAAACCGCATAAATCACTTTCTTCAAGTCTCCATCTTAACCACAAAAAAGAACAAACTTAAGTTTGTGAGTAAAAATGTTGATACATTATTGCGTCACCTCACTCTGTGATTTTCCTCGGTTTACCGGTACTTCGGTAATTTCTTCAGTTCTTGTCTAATAATAACTTACGAGTTGCTGTCCTTCGATAGCCAGATGTATAATATTCCGAAGTTTATTTCAGTTGTCAATAAGTATTAACCTGGTTATGCAGGATATTCCAAAGAATGGTTCATAAACACATTTTCAAATCGTTTCCCCATAAAACTTCTTTGTTCCTGTAGGCCTAATCTTCTGTATTATAAATAAAGGAAATGTCGAAATGAATCAGCATATTCACTGCGCATGCTCTCAGCTTATGATGCGTACTTCCTTTTTAAATAAATACAAACTTCTCACAGCAGGTTTTATCTCCAATTGGATTGTTTGTGCGCGCAATGATTTGTTAAGGTTCTGAAATAACATTGTTTTCTGACTGTTTTAACATACCATATTTTATAAATGACTATTATTATGAAATACTTAGTTATTTTGTTTTAATGTTATGAAAACTGCAATTCGTTTTAATAGCACGATGAAATATAATATATTCATGTTTGTCCATAGAATATTAAATAATTACTTTTCTGCAATGCACTAATCTTTACTATGAGTTATAAAGAACTGAAAAATGGGAATTAGAAGAATACTAATTTCCATTGCTAAGTGTTTCTGCTTTATATGAATTCAACTTATTTAATTAACTTTGGAAGAGAACTAGGCAACACTCTACAGTAATGCTTTAAGTATTGGAGTAAAAAAAAAGTATTTTTTTTTAGAATAATGTATGTTTACAATTCAAAACAAATGTACACATGATTTTCATTATTTTCAATAGATCATCTTTAAAGAAGACAAGGAATGGACATTTCAAATATACAAAACATATTCTCCAAAAAATGTGGAACAAAATATATATATATATATATATATATACTTTTTTGCATTAAAATTGTTTTCAGTCACAATAGCATATTATAAATTAGAAGACCAT